CCCCCCCCCCCCCCCCCCCCAAGCCATAGCAGATCTCCTCCTTCCGAATGTTTTTCCCACCTGACAGTGTCCGGGTTAACCTCCCGCACCGCCTTCAGCAGTACGAAAAGCGGGGACGGACCGGCCGCCGTCCCCGGCCCGAGATTCCTCGCCGGCGAGAGTGGAACTCCCGTCGCCCTCAGCGGCAGCACCCCGTCGAAGACCTCGTTCCGCAGCCATAGCCGCGTCGTGGTGGACATTGTTCCGCCGCTTGCCTTCCTTCACGGTACCTATTGGCTGATGATTGGAATAGTTCCGCCGCCTTCCTTCACCGCACTTATTGGCTGATTATTGGAGTGATTCCGCCGCCTTCCCTCACAGCACCTATTGGCTGATTGGAATGGTTCCGTCGCCTTCCGTCACCGCACTACTCTTGACTCCGCCTCGTTCCTTACTATTGACTGATTGGTTCCGCCGCGTTCCTTCACGGCACCTATTGGCTGATGATTGCAATGGTTCTGCCGCGTTCCTTCACAGCAGCTATTGGCTGATTGGAATGGCGATTCTATCGCCTCCAGGGGGGGGGGGTAGCAAAACGGCCACCCGCAAAATCTCTCCGAAATAGATTGCTTGGTTGCCAGACAGCTGCCACGAAGACGGCTAGCTGGCCCGTTGCGGTCTTCGTCACTGTCTGCCGTGCGAGCTCAACTTCGACGGCAGAACGCAGAGAAGAAGACAAGCAGGGTGTTGGTGGCCCACGCTGCCTTCTTCCGCGCAAGAGCAGATATAGGGCCTGCGAGGACGGCGCGCGGAAAGTGTGTGTGTGGGGGGGGGGCTCAAGGAGTGTACTCATAGTCGTGCATGCCGTAGTCGTTAGATCATTGACCTCGCATCCCTACAAAGCCGGGACGGAGCACGCCGGGTTCTCACCGGACCAGGCTCTCACGTCACCAAGCGCGAAGCGCCGTGAGGTATTCGGCGAGTCGCATGAAGGGTGCGCTGCATCCTGTTAAGGGTGTTCAGCATCTTGTGCTTACTTCCTTGCATACAGATGACAGCTGCGTAAGACTAAGTATATTGTCTGGTGCTTCACTTCCAGAGACAGTTGTAAGCACTGTGTAACTGCCTCGAGGGTGCTTGACCATTTTAACACAACGTGGTGCGTACTCAGGGGGGGGGGCATTTGGAATGGAGCGACAATGAGTGTGTGAGCGCATCATCAGCGTGACATTCGGATTTTCAAGTATTTTCGTTGGTTGTGACCAGGGCTACAAACCCCGCCCTTCACCCTCTACCTGTGAGCGCGGAACGCGGTCTAGATATTAAGAGGATAAAACATGAAATGCAACATCAACAACTGTGAGTGGCACCAAGCAAGGAGCAGGGGACCTGCTCCCTTCCCTTTTATTTCTCTGTTTCCTTCGTACCAAAATTCGTATTTGGTTTGCCTTTGGCTATCAAGACATGGACGGTCCTTGACGGAAAAGGCTTTCGTTGAATAGCTCCGCTGGCATTGAGAGTCCGACAGTTGGACACAGGCCAACTTGTGGGCTTGACACCCCTGCTGCGGTGAGCCATTCCCAGGGGACCACTGCCGAACGTAGGTTGCTTAAGACACCACACCCCCTGGACCACCGGTTTCCAAACCTCGACACACGTGTTGCCGCCGAAGGAAAATTTGCCATACTTATTGGTCATTGTGCAAAAAAATGAAAATCCTGGAATCACATCCCGGAGCAGCCTTTGCTTTTTTATTTTTTGAGAGGGACTTTCACTTATTCTGCTACAACGCTCGCTGTGGTGCTGATACCAAATCGCTGTAGTGCACATCCTCCGCGTGTTGCGCACATAGGAAAGACGCGCATACCCCAACTCCTGTCAGGTTTGATCCACGCTGTTTCTCAGACCAGCGACGTTTAGGTCAGTTGCGTGCCTCCATGGTTTGGCTTCTGTGATGATACTTTCGGAGGTAGGCTTTGATCGTTTCGGAGCGCCTACATTTCACCACTCTCCTGACTGCTTGGCTTGAGTCTTGACCTGGGTCGACTTTCGCAGGCCGACTGCAATGGCCGTGGTTGAGATCCCAACTCGAGCACGCCATGCATTCGTTCTACGGGCTTTAACCTCTAATCTATGGCGGAGTATCGGCCGAATTGGGGAACCGTAGCGTTCAGGGTACCTTACTTTAGGTGAAAGTTGCTTCCAAGTGCTGAAAAGGTTCCCTGCAGCGGCAGAAAGCAGGCTCAATTCAGATATGATCGTGAGGCATTTCTCTCCTCCAAAGCAAAATCAAGGGAGGAACAACAAAGCTTTCCGACGGAGGGTATGACCTGCTTCAGGTACACGTCTACTTTGGTGGCACGTCAAGGTCTGTACGAGGAGCGCGAGGTGGTGAAAGAATTGGGCTCAGCCATGCCCAATCTGGGGTGATGAAACAAAAAAAATGGCCCCGCTGAAACGTGAATATTGTCTGCTTTATTTTTTTCAATTTCTTTTGGGCGGCAACACGTGTGCGAGTGAGTATTCCACCGTGACCACCGTAACGTAGTTTGCAAAAAATGGCACACACCCCCTGTTGAAGAACTTTCAGAGCTCCAGGTAAACACTCCACAACGAAGATATAATATCTGCCAAACGAACAGTTTTCGGAAAGCTCTCGACGAGACAGACGGTTCGAACGCCTCCCGCCATTCCCGGCATCCTCACTAGTGTAACTGATGAAGAGCAGATCGGGCCTTTTGAGCATCGGTCCAGGGGGTGGGGTTTCCTACGCAACCTTCGTACCCCCCGGAACACAGCCTCCCTGGAGGTAGGCCTTGCCCCATTCTGCTCCATTCTTTCGGACATTGCTCCCCGTCTTACGTGAGCATGCAAGTATGCGTGTTTCTTGGTTTGCCCCCTCCTCACGCTCCTTTTCTGACAATTTCTGAGGGAGAACGTGTGACCCTTCGGCCTTTCCCTGTGGCAAGTAGGCTTTTTTGATGCGGAAATCCTGGAGTGGCGTGAAGAGACGCAGCATGCAAAATGCCAACCCTGTCCGGAGCGGCCGAGCGGTACGCTGTCCATCCCACAATGTAAAACGCACACGACGAGATACACGGCGTGGCCAGGACAAAGAGGAGACTAGGCTGTGACAACATGACAACCTCCTCCCCCGAGGGCAAACGACTACAACAAAGCCCTTGGGGGG